GTTTCAGAAAAGGATAAACAATGTATGTGCTGGTTTTGCAATTTTTTTCTCCATGCAATGGAGTGTGTAGCAGGCGGTAGCTAAAGCGTTTCGCAAGTAGCATCAAGAGTTTTCCCCACCCATCACTCAGGGTGGGACGCTGTCATGTTGCATTGCCTGAGCTTTGCCCTCCAGCCTGGGAGAAACCTGCTCTTGACGTGTTTATACGGAGTCCTTTACTTCTCTCTGTCTGCTGCTCTAGAAACAAATTGCAAGGGAAAAAATTAGAGCTAAGTAATGAACTGATCGCGTCCTCAGATGCAGAAGTCAGAAACACCCAGTTATCTGGGAGGGCCTCTGCCTCGGAAAGGCTGTCCTGAGCCGAGAATGGGATTCCTGGTTCTGGGATGCTGGGTCATCAGCAACCTGCTCCATACTTCAGTTTCTCTGTCTGGAAACTGGGAAGAGAACAGTGGCTTTTCCTGTTGAACAGAGGGTTTATGGTAGAAAAGCACCAGAAATTGACTCATTATCAAAGATTGAAATATTGCAATGGTTTCTTTTTCTCTGGGGCATTTTTCTTTCCAATTGAAAGACAAAGTTAAAGATATTTATTTCCCCTTTTTCTTTTGAGTGCTGCTTGTTCTAATTAATGACTCTAAGATAGCCTTGTATTTCAGGCTGATTACTGGTGAACCCCAAATGCTTATGAATTTAAAGGCAGGTCTTTATTGCTGCCAGTGAAGGAAAACACCTAGTCCTTGGGTCTGATAGGAGAACCTGCATGCTATCAGTACTCATCTTCACTGCCTTTCCTCTCTGTGCCTCCTCTCCTTGTTTTAATATGAATGAACAGCTCCCAGGGATTGGTCTAGAGCATATAAGCCTGTTTCACAGAGGGAGGAGAGGTTCAGACTAGAATTCAGGACGCCTGTGTGATGTATTTGCACGTGAGCATCCTCCCGTGTCCCGCAAGCACAGGTGACTGCTGGTGCATGGTGATGTCTGATTGCAGGGGAGACCTGCAAATATGCCCAGGGCCATTTAGAGGAGCCAGCGAGAAGAGTCTGAGCTCCTCTAAAATGATCTCCAAGCTTGGAGTGCAGAAGGAAGCACTGCTTTCTGTACTTACCCTGCTTTGAGGGAATTCCTTGTCCAGAATTCCAGAATTTCTCCACAAATATAAAGAGAGGAGGTGTGGACCTGGCCTGCCTTCCCTGTGCAAACATCCACAAGGAGTGGGGAGATGCAGTTTAGGGCGTTAGGAAATCTGGGTGGTTTCTAAGGTTTGAAAGAGAGAGATTGATTGTTTTCTTTTACTAACACCATTCTGCGTAAGATGAGCTTGTTCCGTACATGCAATGGAATCAGCAAAGATTAGGAGATTGTTGTCAAGTGGATCTTTGTAAGACAGACTACTTAATAACATCGCCTTCATCTTCAGAGATGACATCTCTTCTCTGGATGGCAGAATATCTTTGTTCTTCCTTACTGCACATCCTATCTCACTGATTGCTGCATCAGATAAAGGGATACCAAAGGGAGAACTGGCTGGCTAAATACCTGAAATGGGGACACAAATGTTAGTTTGACAAAGTTGTGCTTAAGACATGCCCAAGGCTGAGCTCAAGAAGGAATCTGGTCAACTACATTTGCAAGAGGATTCATAGAAACAATTTGGCAGGCAGATTCGAAATCCACTGAAGCTGACAAGAGACTCCTCATTGATTTGGAGAAGCTTTGTATCAGGCTCTTGCTGCAAAAAAAGGATTCTAAGATACCAATTAGGTCCGTGCCACTTGAAAGAGATTAAAATTGGCTCAGCCAAGCATCTCGTAGCATCAGCAATAAAAGTCATGCACTGACTTTGGTAATGAGCTTCACATCACACGGGAACTATTTTCCCATGAGTTTGCAAAAGGCTTCCCCGCCCTGCTAGGACCTGCACTAACTTGCAGCTCCGGGCTCCCTGTGTTGCAGAAAGGAGTCTTTCCAAACAGGCGGTCGCTTTGCTTCACCCTTCTCAGGGCTGGCAGGCAGGAGAACAATGCTGTATGCCACTATAAAACCTATAAAACACAGCAGGAAATGCAGAACTGATAATTCCCACCTATAAACACAGACACATTCACGCCTTTCCTTGCCCGTTCTGTCGCCAGAGCTCTGATGTGAGTTCACTGAAAGCAAACAATAGCTTTAGCTAAATAATAAGCTTGCTGAATTGGTTTCAGCAAATGCCCAGAGGCTCCACATCTCTGCCAAGCTTCTGACAACCCTACACAATCATCCCAGCTTATACTGACTCATAAAGAAAAATGGCAGGGCTAACATCTGGCAAACTGCTGCGCTGACCTCCAGGCAGCCCTCCGAGACCGGCTGCCCCCCCCAGCTGGTCACGGGCCACCAAAGGACCCCCTTCCATGGGCTTGTTCCACACTCACGGTCCTTGGGATCTCCAAATGCCGCCTGCAAGTAGTAGAGATCATGAGGATAATTTTACCCTGTGAAGGACAGTCATTCACTGTGGAGGAGATCATGGCTTTGGTGAAAGTTCATTTTGCTCTTTCTGAGATGGTAGATTTTGCTGGCCTCAGCAGCAGGGCCATCCTGGAAATTTTTGTGGGCCTCCACTGCTAGGGGAGCCCAAATGCCTTGTCCTTGCTTTGGTTATCACATGCAAATTTGGTTTTCCAGATCCCCAGGAGCTCTGCAATATGCACCAAACCTGTTATCTGCCGTTCTGCAGTACTAACAGGTTTTTTCTGTGTTCACTGGAGTAAACACAAAGGGAATTTGTCCTCCTTTTCTCCCCTTCCAGCAATTCACTTACTTAGATGCAAACCTGCTGAATGAAAATATAAAAATTACTTTGAATTTGGGCTCAAGTGACAGAGTAATCTGAGTATCAGAATATACAGACTAAAGGGTTTCCTCTTACACATGCCTAACATATAACCTGTTCTGAGAGTTTTCAGCCGTTACTCACCTGTGCAACTCTCTGGGAAACAGCGGAGAGGATTCACTGCATTCCTGAAGATCAGTTTGTTAATGGAAATATTTAGCTTAATTAATTAGCATAATGACAATTCTGCAAAGTGTTAGAGACAGAAATGATGCTGACTGAGCTCAAGGATGAGATGAAATGAGAGAGAGTAGCAGGAGACAGGGAGATCCTGCAGAGGACCTGATTCTATAATTAAGATTTCTATCATTTCTATATCACAGAATGTTACCGAATACCAGTCTCCATCACATGGTGTTTCTTCATTTGAAAATCCAGATTTGTTCAGAGGGGCACAGGCATGGGCACGTCCATTGCACCAGGCACAAGCTTGTGCATTGAACCTTCATGGAAATAATAGGGTACCAGGGTTGACTTTTCCAGCCCATGGAACCTGTGGGTGGCTTGCGTAGAAAGAGGCATCTGTAGCCCATATGGCTAAAGTTAGGTGAGAAAACACCCCCTCGGCCACAGTCTTTTCCTGGATCAGCTTTCCCAAGATAAACCTAAGGGGGATGAGTTCCATGTCACTGTCTTTATTTGGCTCTTCCTATGCCTCTTTGCTGAATGTCTTGGGGATCTACTAGCCAGTGTGCTCAGGAGAGTAAGGTGAAAGAACTTGATCTCTTTAGGTAAACAGCATTAGAATATCTTTTTTATTGTTATTATATTTCCTTTCTGGAGTATACACCTTAGTGACACATCTCTGACCTGAAGACATCCATGGAGGCCCCCAAATGTCAGGACTGACATCCAGAAGCTTTAATATTGCAGAAGAATATTGGACCCAGTCCTGATTTGTGGTGTACTTGGGGAAATCCAGAGTGTCTTTGGTGAAGTGGTGGAGTCCCCTGGACAGAAAGCAGGACAGATAAAGCCATTGTTTCATTTGATCAATTTGATTTCTTTTTTACTTTCTTTGTTTCTTTCTTCCTTTTTTCCTCTGTTTTATTGACTGTCCTTTCTTACTGCATCTTCCCCCTTGTTCTCAGAATATCACATCATGTATGGTGTTACTACATGCCTTGCAATGCAGAAGCAGGTACTCATTGATTTGTTAGCACAGTGGGATTCAAGGCTGCCTTTTCACCATCTTTTCCCTCCCTTTTCTCCCTTCCTAAGGAATATTCACATGGAAGGTGCACAAAAGAAGATAAAGGAAATTAAAAATAAGGACAGGCAGTACTGAAAGGGCAGAAAGGGGCACCATTCCCTGTGGTGGCAAGAGACGTGCCATGGCATTTCACATGACAGCTCCCCTACATTTATATGGCTGATAGGTGAATGTCTGCTCCAGGCACTGCACATAAACCCTCTCTGGCCAGTGGCAGGGATGAGATACGCAGGGTGAAGTTCAGCACCTCATGAGGTTGATGCCTAGAATTAGTCATCTCAGTGCAGGGCAGGTTTGTGTGCGATGCCTGGTATTCCCTGCCTCTGTACAAGGAGCCTGGCACTGCTCTTCCTTCCAGGCTCGTACAGCAAGGGGCTGGTTGGGAGGCTGGACCACAAAGCTGCTAAGAAACACAGCAATTGGGCATGGAGTGGGGCTTGACACTGCTGATCTTCAGCTCAATCCTTTCCTAATTTTCTTGTTTTCTTGTCGGTCAGCTGTACAACGGGACGCTGAAGCGGGATGCGGAGAACAGACGCTACAGCTCGTACAGCCAGATGGAGGGCTGGGGCAGCAAGCACTACAGCAAGGCTGCTGTCTGCAGCCCCGCCAGGGCCGGCAGCGACTACTGCTTCGTGCAGAACATCAAGAGCAGCCGCAGCGAGCCGGACCTCTACTGCGAGCCACCCCGCGGCACGCTGAGGAAGACTCAGGTGGGGGGCCGGGCAGAGCACAAGGCAACCTTGAACCGCCAGAGCATCTACAGCAGCTGTAGCACCCAGCAAGGAACTACCAGGACAAGTAAAAAAATGCCAGCGCGGGCCCTCTCCTGCCCCTCCAGCAACAAAGCCGATGTGGTCTATGCCCAACCCATGATGAGCAGCAAGCAGGACGTGGTTTACGGACAGGCTCAGTCCAGCTCCAAGTAAGTCTCACACAATGGGATTCATCTAAATAAATGTAGACATCTGATATGGAGGCTTGTCCATCTGAGCTAGTGGTTTGAACTGCTTTCTGGAAATCTGTTCGTCGCCGGTGCAGAAAGTACTCATTCTTGTGCTGCAGGAGAGCGTCAAGTAGGTCAGATGAGTCACACTCTTAAAGGGCTTATTTCTGTTTGCTGACTGTGAATGGAGACCAATCTGACTGACTCAGTGCAAATGTCTCTGTAACATTAGCCAAGATGATCCCCTAGTCTCCAGTGGTATTATCTTACGGCTCCTTTGTAGGATGAAAGTGGGAAAGTGAAGGGAAGAAAGGCCAGCTTGCAGTTTAGGTGTCTCTCCTGCTGCCACTCCACTCTGATTTGGTAGAAATTCCTAGTAGAAAGCTGAAAAAAAAATAGCAGGCTTTGAAGGAATCAATTCCTTGGGTTCAGGACTAAGACCAGAGCTGAGAACTTGCTGAGCAGCAGTGTTTACCCTTCTGTCTTTCTATCCACCCCTTGTTTCATTCCCAGAGAGGTCTGATTCACATTCGGGGAAATATGAGTCAGAAATTGGAGAAAAACAAACAAACAAAACAAAACAAGTAGCCTGGTTGGAAGGATTTACCAAGCCTACAGAGAGGAAGGAATGGAACTTGTACGTTTTGTGCAATCTAAAGCGTCCAGCCCCATCAGGGTTAGGAACCATGCAAGCATGGAGGATTGTCATTTGTGTCTCACTTAGCAGCAGATGTTGCCTGCAACAGTGGGACATGTAATACACACCACATAGCACAAAACAGTTATTCTCTGTGCTGTATCTGTGCACAGCTCTCAGAAAAAAAGGTGGGATTTTGATGACATTACAGGAATGCTAGTTTAAAGCTGCCTTGAAGCTGTCCTCTGCGCTGACACCAAATCTGTAGCATGATCTTGTAAATGTTGCCTGCAACAGTGGGACATGTAATACACACCACAGAGTGCAAAACAGTTATTCCCTGTGCTATATCTGTGCACAGCTCTCAGAAAAAAGAAAAGGTGAGGTTTTGATGACATTACAGGAATGCTAATTTAAAGCTGCCTTGAAGCTGTCGTCTACGCTGACACCAAATCTGTAGCATGATTCTTCTGCTCACAGCAGTCCTAGAAGAC